TTACAGGCTTTATGCAGCCGGATAGACGGACATAATCGATTATGAATTGGGTACTTATTACAGTTATATGGAGGTATATATATTATAGGATCCCAAAAGTTTCCTTCTAGATATTGCGCACGTTTTGGTGAAACGAATATATCCGATGGGTGTGCAAAAAGCGTCGAATTATTAGAGAAGCTTCAGACTAATTGTATTATGATTGTATTACGAGGCTATGTTGAAGAATAAAGTCATATTTCATAAAAAAACAAAAAAATATATTCTTCATATTTTGTCTCGGGACTGAGTAATATATATATATATATATATGTATATAATTTTTAATATTTGGAGATCGTAACACTGCTCTCAGCATATGGTTGAGCAGCAGATGCAGACAGTAGAATATGGCGCTCCCGAAGGCATCTCTATAATAATGTTTGTCTTTATCAAAACAAATCCGTGAAAGCAAAAAAATGCAAATGCGGACAAATTGCAATGAATACCGAATTTAACACAACCCATTCGCCTTTATAAAAATCTTAGACTCTTGTGCTACACAGTTATCTACGTCGCAGTAAAGAATTTTCGCTCCATCAATCGGAGTAGGGAGCGAACACCTGGATCGCTCGGATAAGTGCCGGACCACTAGACTGCACGGAAGCCTTCTATTAATAATTATGCTTTCACGTGTTTAAAGAAAATGGTAATTGAAAGAAGTAGAATTAATTTAAAATTATAAATAATGAGTGAAACATGATTTGCTGAAAAAAAGTAGCTCTTCTTAATAAAGATTCGCTGTATCGTATAGCATTCAAATTATACGATGCACTTAAAATATGCCATAAAATATGTTTGCAATTTGATTATAGGTATAGGTATGGGTGTAGCTTCAGAGAAATCCCCAAAGTTCGACGAAGATGGTTTTACCAGACAAATGCCAAAGGTTATCGACCAAAACGGCAAACATTTGATTTAATAAACGCAGTTCGATTATCGCTTTTGACGTGTATTGAATTTTTATTATACTACGAGACGCAGTAGAACATAAGTTAAAATTTATTCGCATACCTTTGTTTATCCATGGCCAGCTTAAACAAAGAAAACTAACTATTCATAATATTAATATGCAAGTTTTTGAATAGTGGGGGGAAAAATTGCATTTTTTGAATAGGAATACCATTAAGAAAACTATAAATAAAATATAATGCATAATAATAGAAAATAAAGAAATCAATAGGAACATATTTAATATCAAAGTTTAGTGTAATAGTTTCGACTTCACTGTAAATGCAAAGCTAAACAAGCACAACAAACGCCACAGGTTGTAAAAAGGACGTTTGAATGTCATTTTTAGTTCAGTTAAATAATCCATAAATTCATGCTTAAATGTGAGTGAACGCCGTCCGGCGTGTTATCTAAGCCAAAGCTGTGATTGGCATAAAAAAAGAGGGTGTGACTCTTAACCAAAAATCGATTTTTCAAGTTTGACTACATTGCAAATTTCACTTTACATACAATATGACTAACATTTCAAAAATGCCATAGGCTGCACACGCTTAAGCACTCACGTCCACCATGCCCTTGGTGATTGTCCTTTATTGTTTGGTTTGTGTTTTTTGACGTTCGTTAAATATAACACGCAAAACTCTCACTACTAGAGAGTATTTTCTCTTCTAAAAAACACACATAAAACGAAATAAGACGCAAATGTATACAGCATATGTTATCACAAACTTGATGAACGAATGAATAAGAAAGACGGTTCAAATGCGCCCTTCCACCCATTAAGATCAAGATAACGATCTAGATATATTATAACATTTTTTTATCGCTTAAAAATCGGTCCGAAAATCCATCTTTGTCAGCAATTGTTAATGGTTTTCTTTTACCAAAAACAAAAAAACAACATCTTCATATTTCAATTTATCTCAGACAGATTGAGACCAACTTGCTAAGCAACTAGTCCAAATATCAGAACCGCTTGTTCGTGCAATTAGCGAATAGCGATTGCAACAAAACATCATAGGTATCTATATATTCGACCTATATATTCCAAATATAATTCGAGTTGACATTTCTCTTCATACGCTTAAGAGAGTAAGCAAGTTCTCTCTTAAGAATTTTTTCCCTCTGGCATGTATATATTGTAGGAAGGCTTGGAATGTTTACTAAAATCATACTCATTCTCACGCTTTTTTTTTATTATTATTTATAACATATTCCAATGTGGCATTGGAAGTAAAAGAAGGCTCGTCCTACAACACCAACGACAAAACAACACGTATTGCGTACGAAAAACTAGAAATAAGAAGCAACTTATTGTGAGGCCAGTCAATGTCACATTCAAATTATACAAAGTTTTTTTTTTTTTTTTTACACTGTAGATTAACATTTTTTATATAAGTGCAAGCACTGTCAAAATGAATGCAAAGAGGCTAAGAGGCAGATACCTCGTAGCAATCTCTAGAAACCGCACGCACACATATCAGCAGTTCTTAAGATAGTCTCTCTATCTTATACGTTTCCAGAGCGTTTTCATAGTGTAATCAACAAGTATGCGAGAAAACCAGTACATAGCATTTGATATTTCTCAATAGAATTTAGTGTTACCGCTTGATTTTAACTAAATCGTTTCAGTTATATAAACCGAGGCGGCCGTCAAATCAATGAATAATATTCGACCAAAGATTTATGCTTTGTCGTGGTCATGATCATAATCGAAAAGTTTTTCTTAAGGGTATTCTTAATGAAATTTTTATTATCAAATACAGTGAGACGCATTAATATTGTATTCTTTCGCTAAACAAAAGTAAACGCTTGTTGAACGTAGTCCATTGTCCAAACATAAAAATTGTTTTTACTATTTTGCACTACTAGGGAATATATATATATATATAAAATATATAGAAAAACAAACAAACAAAACATTATTCCAGTAGAGAAGAAAATTAAGTAACTACAGCAACTCAAAAAAGCGTCATAGCGTCATTAATATTGCATTTTTTTTCATATAAGGAGCGATACGACGACAAGAAACAGGATATTATTAAAAATTAATATTCGATGGGGTATCCGTTTTTCTTAGTAACGTCATTTAAACGTTTCGACATAATTCGTGTAATTTTTCTTATGTAAGAAACAGGGATCTTTATCTATTTTTCAGATCTTCAACGGAAGAGATTGAGTGTTTTCGCACACGCCGATCTATTTCATCCTAGATATTTTTGATGGGGTTCATGCCTGGCGATTGGGGAAGAGGGATAATCTACTGGAATAATGTTTTGTTTGTCTTATTTATTTATTTTAGTGCGTAATTCCTAGTAATACAACATAGCAAACAAAATTTTTATATTTGAACATTGAACTAGGTTTAACAATTGTTTACTTTTTGTCGAGCGAAAAACCCAATATTAATGAGACTCACTATATCTTTTCTCTATCATGTCCGCTATTTACAGTTGATCACAAAAACACGTTATAAACTCTTAGCAGCGTGATGCCCGTTTTAGGGGGGATGTGCGTAATCAATAAGTTCGAGCCCTTCTACTCTTTCCAATTTTGTATTTATTTCTTAATGTAATTAGCAAATCAACATTACGTATTGTAACAGACAACCCAAACATTCCATAAATTATATTGATCATCGTTTAGCGTAAGGTCCTACGCCAGTTTAGTAATTATATCTGAAGCATTGCATACATAAAAATGAACACAATCTGCTCATAATGGGCAAACCGTTGCATCTTACAACATTTAATATTTCTGCCCGGAAAATGATAAGATAATAGTTACACTATTAAGATCATCCAAAGTAAATTACAATATCGGATTTGTTGCAATTTTATAGATTGACTTTTTAGGACAATGCTTTTTCACTCATACAGTTTTACATTTAAGATCAAGCAAGAATTTAACAAAAACCCTATAAGTACAAGAATTCACCCAAACCTATTACCCAGAAAGAAAAATAGTCTATATTGCGATAACAGATCTGGCATAGTAATCAGCGGTACCCTGTAGCTTTCGATTTTATAAATACTCTTCTTACTCGGTTTTGGGATTTCAAAGTTCAATAAGCATAGAATTGTTTCTGTTTAATTAATAGACTTCAAAATTGATATCATTAATTAAGTCTGGAAGATATAACGTCTACCTCAAATTGTTTAACTGACTAATTACTATGTACACCTAATCCTCGTTTTACACAATAGATACGTTTCCAAAAAATTCGCATAAAAAAGATATTGACTAGATGGAAAAATATTAGATTAAGTCCAGACATAAAAAAGTAGCTGAAAAATACGATAAACAGTATTAGAGAATTCTTGTTAGAAATCACTTAAAAGTTTATTTTGAACTACAAAAATAGTGCAGTCAGAATCTGCTTACTTAAAGTTTTTCTTCTCAATCTTGGCATATAAAATGCGAAAATCAACTAGAATCAGATCAATATTTATTTAAAACGACCTATTATTAAATAAATATCAAATTGCTATAGAACTATAGAAAAATATCGTTTGGAATCAATGTACATATATGTATATATGTATACTGAAATGGATCTTCGCTCTATTTTGCAATCTATCTATCGTGTTTTTTTTTTTTTTTTTTTATTAAAACAATATTAGGTAGTAATGAAAATGAAAAAATATTAATTAATTAAAACATTTAAAAACATTAATTACCTTCAGACAAATTATAACAAAGCCCTAGCTGATTTTAAATGTTACGAGTTCTTACAAAAATAAGGTTAAATCGCTAATGCATAACAAAGGACGCTTTAATATGAAAAGTTTTCGAGCTTCCTTGACCACCTTATAGACATTTAATTTAAGGGCATTTTGAATCCCAAAACACTACACTACAAAAAAAAATGACACATATATGGTTATTTAAATTATGCGAAATGAAAAGATCATGCTCAAGGTGATATTTTCATGAAATGAAAAGATTATGTTCAAGTTGATATTTTCATCTCTTTCATTTCACTCTGTTTCAAATTTTGCACTCAGGATAACATTGCAAGTAAATATTTTTTTTTTAATATTTATTTAAACGTCATTTCAATCATTAATCATATAGTATGTTTGTTTGCTTCACATTTTTTATTTAATATAAAATTTTTGGATTTTCAATGAAGTTGTTAATATGAGACATCGAAATTTATTCTAAAATACCATCAGTAGAAAAAATCCAAAGTGAAGAATTAAATTAAAGTCTGATTAATTATACACTCTAATCTCGCGGGAGGATTTGGAAATTTTATACTTTCGAGAGATTGAGTTAAAATATATTCTACGTCAAAAAAACAATTTTTTTGACCAATTCAATGCGGAACTCTCAAAAGCGCACACAGACATAAATTCCGCCACAATTTCTTTTTCGAATAATTTGGGAATTAATTGGCGCCGATAGGTAAATAAAAATCAAGGGGTCAAATTCCTTAAAAATTTCTCCATTTTATTATTTGCACTTTTATATATGTCAGTTCAGCAAATAAGAGAGCAACATGAGTGAATTGGACCATACATTAAAACTGGTTGATGAAGAGATTGCGAAATTACGGCAGAAAACCATGTTCTGTTTGTCCAATTATGATTACCATCACAAAAATGATGAATATAAGATAATTGCAGAGCTTCTCCTTATACTGCAAGAGGCAGAAGAAGAAGGTGAACGATTCACGCGGAACATAAGCAATCTAAAGAATATCATTGAAAAATGTCGAAATAAATGTGCCGAAGCAAATCAATTGCTAAAGGAATTTCGTGCAATAAGGGGCAATGTTACCAATGAGGAGAAGGTCATTGTTACCAACGATTCATTTAGGGGCAACGACGATTATGATCAGGACGATGAGGCAAACAAAGAAAATAATTCTTAATACGAAATGATTGTTAATAGATGTATCATTAACTATTCTCAATAATTTTGCGTAATTATATGTTGTATAAAAATTTCCTTTTGCTTATATTGCAAAACATATTTAAATTAATATATACATATTGATAAAATCTTTCGAAATATAAATCTGAAATGCGATTATTTCAAATAGATGCCAATTCAAAGCGGAAATTGGAAAATTTCTTAATAATATGAATATTGAAAGTATAAATCTGCATTAATTATCTTTAAAAACCAAGACGCAGCTGCTTTTGGTTAAAATCCAATTTATAAATTCTCTGTCCTAAATTGAGAGAAAATATAAGGGGTCTTTTAATATGTTCGTAGAATCACTTCATAAAATTTATATAATACGATACGGCTTGCGGTCCTACTTTTCTAAAATACGCTAGCAATGCATATAATGCGCAATGTTAATGTTCAATTTTGTTTACATACGATTTTCTGTTAATACTGAATAGGACTTTGCACCTACGCAGGTAATTATCTGACAAGAAAGTCTAAACCTTAAGCAAATTTTTCAAATCTAACCTCAAAAAAGGGATAAATTATCGGTTCTTCATAAAGCATATCTATGGCATTTTTTACTCTCTCTCTCTCTCTCTCTCTCTGGACTCTTTAAAGTCCATTAAAGCAACATTGCTTAATACGCGCGATTTACCTATGTCGTACTTAAACTGACTTAACCTTAGATATGTCATTATGAGTCGAAAATTAATTTGTTGTTAACAATTATCGGTTGCCAAGCTTATGCATGTTTGTGATGGCTTAGGGGTTCACTTGCAATTTGGTCCTGTATCGTGGGTTGTGGGTGTGGCTCTATGCTAGTTGTGTACATGCTTTATTTTTTTTTTTTTTTTCTTTTTTTTCCTCCTTATTTGTTTTATTGTACTTATACTAAGTTTTATTATTAATTAATTTTAAGATTTACTTAAGAGTCAATTGAACTCGACTGCCATTTTGTTTTAGTTGAGTTTCTTGTATAAGTGGAATAAATAAATAAATAAATATTGTCTTATGAACGCGTCGTCATTCTTTGATTACGGTTTCAAATTACTTCGCTTTCGAAACTATTGATTCTCCGTAAAAATAATGAGAATTAGAGAAAAAATGAAAATAATCTGCTTTCTTTATGGAATATTAATGCAGTCACATAACGCAGATGTCATTAGTAGAAAAAGAAGGGAAACTTTAAACTAAGTTTTTTAAACTCTTGATAAGTATTTGTATTTAGAAAATTTTTGAGAATTGTTATATAAATTTCTTAGAAACTAAGATGTTATACAATATATTTGTTACACAATCTTCTTAATATTTTTTTTAATTATTACCCTGTTCAAGATTTTTTTAATATCAATCATAGATATTTGGTAGGCTTTACTTGAAACGGCGCTAACGACATCTAAACCATGAGAGCTCAATTTTCTAATTGCATAGAATTTGTCTCTATATACATATTTAATTCTAACCAAATGAATAAAAAGAAAAATAAACGTGAACCCCATCTTCAACAAGTTTTGCCATTTTAAATTTGTTAATTTGCCAAATTTTTCACTTTTTAATGCAAAAATTTTTCTTATCTTTGAAATCAACATTTATCATACGAACTACGGTCGCAGTTCCAATAATTGTTTTTCAAATAAAACTTCCATGTTATGTACTTCATTTCAAATGATTTTAATGTTCGACACGTTCGACTCGGTTCGGCAAACCGCAAAAGAAAACAGAGTAGAACGCACGTAATGAAACAAAATCTAAAATTGCAACCTCTCAGAAAACCCAAACAAAAAAATAAAAACAAAAAGAAGTTCGTTTAATAAGAGTTCCTGATCAACTTCTTAACAATTTTTTTCTCTCTTTTCTATAATTCATTGCCTTCGTTACAATTATACATCGCCTGAAACAGATACTTTGTTATTTCTTTTGTTCTTCTAACTGGCTAAAAAATGTAAACTAATCAACTTATAATGCATAAGAATATTTCGCTTTCAACAAAAAAATAACCGATTTAACTATTTGTAAAAATAACTAACAACAAAAGAAAAATGTTATTCTAAGTAAGAGGCAATGAATGTTTTAAACAGCTTGGACTAAATCTCTTAATACATAACAGTCCCCGTTTGAAAGACGGAGCGAACGCTTATTCATTTGACGTAGGTATAGAGTGTCTTGATGTGTGTATTGTAAAAATTTATAGTTTATATGCATATATATTTCTACAATGCTCTACTTTTGATTCTTTAACTGATTTTTCAATTTGATGCGAGACGTTTGGAGTGTGTATATAATATCATATTACACTTTTTTTTTGCTTGCTAGACTTTAAATTCAATCGTTAGTACGCACGCTAAAAAAATTTCTACCTATTCATCGTCTCCGACTCATTTTCTCATTAAAAAAAATGTGGTGTCTAATCGACGAACAAATTTAAATGGTAATCGCAAGATACGAAACTAAACATATCACATTTAAGTTCACATAACAAATCGAATGTTCAATTAAATAGCAGAAGCCTTTCAATTCCACTCTCCGTGAGGGAAATTATATAATTGCAAATATTACAAAGTTTATTAGAATGCTTCTAGATTTAAATCGATACTATACAAAAGGAAATTATAGAACGTTGACACAAATCATAGTGAAATTAAATGTTGTCGCTTTATATTTATATTCTTTGCTTTTATAAAATACAATTTGTTTTCTTTTTGTTAAAAACGATACTAATAAAAATACATTTTGCACTTGTTGTCATTCACTTCAGCAACATAATTATCATTACAATTAAAAATTAAGAAAAATTAATCCCAAACCGGAAATATTGCTTGCAACTACATAATATACGCATGGACTGAAACTAGACATCGCTGGAAAATGGAATTATATTTCGCCATAATGAAAGCAGCATATATATATATATATATATATATATATAAAGGCTGCAACCATTGCTATTTGCACTGTCCACGACGACCAAAAAACGGCCTAGAAGAATTAATATAGTGAATTAATAAAAAGTTTCTAGCTCCACACATCGGCAGAATAGCGTTTTTGTGCTTCCATCTTCTTAAGGTATTGCACAGCGTCAGGTTCACTCATATTGCCTTTGGTTTTTAGAATTTTAACTAGAATATTTCTCACATCTACTGCCATATTTTTGGCATCACTATAAAAAAATTGAGAAAATAAATACTTGCAAACACATTTAAAATACAAATCGTATTCAACCTACCCACATATGTAAAAGTGACCGTTATTTTCACCAAGCACTCGCCATAACAAGTCGGCATCCTGTTCAAGTAAATGCGTTACATAGATTTTTTTTTCTTGGTCCCGTGAAAAAGCTGTTTTGAGAGTTAAGGTGCCTTTCTCAACGTATTCTTCTAATTCTTCTTCATAAATGAAATCTTCGCTTTTCTTTCGACAACCAAAGTATAATATAGACTCCCCAACCTGCTTTCCTTCATCACGCAAATGTTGACGTTCTTGTATAAAGCCACGGAAAGGTGCTACACCAGTTCCTGGGCCAACCATAACAATTGGTATTTCCGGTTTAGTAGGCAAGCGAAACTGAGATTTACGTATAAAAACGGGTACCTTCACTTCACCTTCTTCAGGATTCTTCGCCTTTAAATAAGTTGTAGCTACACCCTTGTTAAGACGCCCCGTTGGAGTTTTATATTGCACCAAAACAGCCGTTATGTGTACTTTGGTTGGATACAATTTTGAGGAGGAGGATATTGAATAATAACGCGGTTGCAAACGTGGCAGCAACTCGCACACATGATCTATACTCGGTTTACAGGAGTTAATGTCTTCCAAAATGTGCACAATGTTACGACAGGCGTCTTGTACCCAACTTTGATATTTTTCTTTGCCTTCAGGTGTTATGGAAGCCATTGAGCGTAAAAACTGCTTATCGTTTTCATCGCTACAGTATTCCGCTAATTCTTTGAGTATATGAGTTCTAGGAATAGCAGCAATCTCCAAATAATGAGTGAGAGCGGTGCGGTAGGTAGTAGGACAGGGAAACGGATGTTTTTTGCTACTATCCGTATCGGTGTTAATCAAGGAAAATACCAAATCCAAATCTGCATTGCATAATAGACCCAATTTTTCTACCAAGTCCTTGTCATTAATAGGATACATGGCCACGTGATCACCAGCGTCATAACGCATTTTCGAGCCCTCTATATTGAGTTCAATATGCATACAAGATCGATTACCCCCTTTATGTAGTTCTCGATTAATTAATATAGGAGCTAAAAACGGATTTTTGGCATCAAATGGAGGTCGTTGATTTTGCAAAGAATGTAGACGAGCTACTTCACCGGTGTAAATGCGATCAAGTTGAACATCATTATGTTCTAATAAGCGAAATTGACGTATGAGAACCTCTTCGCCGCTACCTTCAATACCGAAGTTATCACATACAGCTGGCCAAAAGCGATCCTTCCAAGTAATAAAATCATCTTCAATACTAAAATGAGAGCAAAAAACAATTAATAAAAATTTTCATAAACAAATTAATACATACTTGGCATCGTCATCACCGAGGCCGAGTTCAAAAACACGTGTCGCTCCTAATTCTTCTAGGCGTTTATCCACATATATGGCAACTTTATTGTAGTGCTCATAAGTTTTATTCCCCAAACCGAACACCTGAAAATAAACACCTGTGCATAAGAAAATCGTTCCATTTATATTTTCATTCTCATTATCAAGCAATATCTCTGCTTTTAATTGAAATTTTGGAAATAATTTTACCCGATTTATATAGTTATCGAATATTAAATTATTACTGGTGTTAACTGATATTGTAGTTCGATATTGATACGTATTTATATCCAAATATTTGTTCTTTAGTACTTCCACTGGTGATCGTGTGCAAAGTAGGCCCCATGACCGCTTCCTAATCAACATTTCATAAATTAATCTTAAGAATTTTTGAATTTTTACACAATTTTCATTTTCTGACCGGCGGCTTTTCCCAATAATTAATCCGCAATCAAAATACGAATTCTATTCATTCTATTTATGCAATAATTAAAGATTAGAAGAGAGTAACACTCATTTTTCATTTTCCCATTCGATAACAACTATGTGTTGACATTATTGATTAAAAAACAGCTGGCTATTTACACCATGTACAGCGTTGTATAATGACTTTTTAAAATGGTTGTAATACAAATTTATAATGCAAAAGCCGTAAATATTACATCAATATTCATCTCAAATAATTCTGGTATTTAATAAATAAAAAAAATTATTGTAATTCAATTTTATGATCATTTTAGTGATTTTAAAGCAATAAATAGTATAAATAAATAACTATTTAAATTCTTTAAAAAATACATTCTTTATAGAAATGTTGCTTATCAAACTTTAACTATGTAGTTGTTAGTATCATACACTACTTACTGCATAATTTAAACCGGTCAAGTCGGCATCTCCATTTGTAATCCATTCGTAAAATTCCATAGCATTGTCAGTAGGATCACCTTCACCATATGTGGCTAAACAAAAGACTGCCAATGAATTAGATATATCCTTTAGCTGCAATAATTCCTCCATATCACACTCTTCGGGGTCAGCTACCATTCCTTTTAGGCGATAGCGAATACCTTCTTTAGCCAAACGGCCAGCGAATTCTTCAGCTGTACCGGTTTGTGAGCCATAAAACACTACTAGGCTACGACCCGATGCTTTCAATTTCTTAATAAACGAATTATCTGTTACTGCTGCAGTGCTCACAGTGGTGGGCCTTTTTCAAAATTAGCAATTAATTAAAATACGAAAAAAAGTTACTGCGCACTCACTGTATGGAATAAGTACGACCTTGTTCTTCAGGTTTGGTACGATTTCGTGTAAAATACCAAGTGCCACCTGCTACCAGTATCACTAAGAGCGCAATATCCAAAGTACCTAAAAATGGCTCCTCGCCGCTGACAACGTTTTCGATTTTTCCATCAGCCATTTTACAGATTTCCTTTTAAAATAATTTTAAACTGAAAAGAAAAATAAATTATGAACTAAATTTTCGCTAGGTAATTACGATAAGATAGGAATGGTAATGGACATGGCTTTCATGAGTTCAAACAGTTGATTGCAAAAATCAACTTCACAAAAGTGGACGATTTTTTAGGTCCAATATAGCGTGTTTTCAATTAACAGTTTGTTCAAATAAAGACTGTATTATTTCACTACGAACTGAAAAACACAAAAGCCAAGCCATGAGTTACTAACTTATTTTGGGTTTGTAATTTTAATGTTATTAAAATACGGTCGGCAACAATAAAAAACGGCTGTTTTTTTATGTAAACTTTCATGCGTCGCAGAATTAATCAAATGTTTTCAATCAATCTATAAAAGTACGAATCGGACTCTCTTTAATAACATATATATATATATATATATATATATATAAATATATACCTGATAGACATGAACAATACAATCAATTTGGCCATTATATGCATGCATGCATCACTTATGTCCGTTTTCTCGAAATTCGAACACAAGTTTTTTTCACCGTCGTCAGACCAAGCTCAAAAAGTTACAGAAGATCGGTGTTGTCGTCTGTTCACAATAAGTAAAATCGATAATGCTAACCTATTTCCTAAATTAGACTTTCAAAAGTTTGTCTACATTACAACATTCCTTTGACTTTCTTTCGATCAGAATAATTTAAATAAGATCAGTACATAAATATTGCTTGTATGAGGGACTGTAATAAAATTGTGTAAAAATGTGATTCCAATTATCGTATATTAAGCAATCCTCGCTTTCAATAGCACTTACATATTTATGTATGTAACCTTGAGCGCTCTTCCTATTAATTATAATAAAGAATCCCTTAAGAAACTAACAGCGACGCAAATAAGTTCCGAAATGCCTCAGCACACCTCAGTTGTTTTAAATACAACACATAAGCAATATAGCACTAACTAACTAGAGGAGCAAATACGAATCTTTTAAAAACTGCGCATTTCGTTTTAAACAATTGTAAAAATCGATACTTGGCTGCTTGCCGATAGTATTTCTCCCATACATTCCTTTTTGAATTTGTTCGCTTTAAAAAAGTAAAATTAATTACACTTTACACGCTAAAGTTAAAATATATATATATATATATACATATATATTGTACATAAATAATAGCAGGATATTTTTGCTCATAAAACGAACTAATAATCGTTCGCATTATTTTTGAATTTGTATCTAAAGAATGTGCAAAGACTAAATTTAAAATATTTATAGTGCATAAATTAATTAATTCCTAATACAATGACGGCATTCGCCGATTTCGGTTAACAAATCTTAAAAATAAAATATTTAAAATACCAATAGGAAATGATCGAAAGGTGCACATATTACTAGGGTATATGACGTCACTCGGAAGGTTGCGTTTAAAATGTATTTAATTCGTATGTATATATTGTTTTCACGTAAAATTATTTATGTTTTCAAAATTCTGAAAACTTTTAAGAATATGTACACAATTATAGACATCCCGCATTTGACAGAATATTTATTCAGCAAAATTCATTAAAATCAACTTCTTTCTATTTTAGGGAATATTTAAATATACGCTTTAAAGGCTAAAATAAAGAAAAAATGTATTTTGGTTTCCATCGAATTTTTTGAAACCCACCAATAGACTGAAATATGAAGATTATATTGTACAATTAATCGTCCATGTGGAAGGGCGGACCATATGATGCACGAATATACAATATCCAAAATTATATTATACATTTTGGAAGTAGCTTGTAGGCAACCGTACAAACTTATTATGTACGATTTTAAGTAATTGTTAAATAACTTACCGATCAATCAATCCTAAATTTCTAAAATTAAAATAATATGAAACACGGCCTGGCCTGTTTCTCTAGATCACATTCACGTATCTAAGAATCACATAAATATGACTCAATTTCCTTACTTTTTATGGAGTTTTTAAAAGTTACTTCTATATATAACAAAATCTTCAACAATAAATTAAAACACATCAAAACTAGCCCCTTAGCCTTTAAAGAAAAAGGAACTATATGTTAGATGAAAGAAAGTCTCCTTTTCGTCAACATTTAAGCAAAAACAATCGCTCGATCGCAACTTGAGATTGCTGAAAACTTTATAGATTATTGAGCGAACATTTGTCTGATAAGCCAGACGCAGACCTTGAACAAGGTGTTATGGTGGAAATCTAAATAATGGAATTAAAAATTTCTATAAATTTTGGAAATAAATATGTATACGCAATTAATTCCTAAAATTTATCACTTTACGAAAAGAGAAAAATTTATTGGATATGTGGTCACATGACAACTGAAATGCTAATCTGTCAATCAAATTACTCCGTATTCAGTGCAAACTAGGCAGTCAGTCTAGTGCAATATGCATCTGGACGTTTACCTATCTTTTTACCTCTTTTTTTCTAGATCAAAATAAGAACAACACCTATAACAATTATATAACAATTGGTACAGGGCAAGCGTCATAAAAAACATACTGTACAGGTTGGAGAAGTTTGGTATTGCTAGCAAAAGCCATCAGTTCATCGTTACTGCAGTTCATACTGCAGTCATTTCAAATGCTCGAATATTTACATAATTCTCGTCTCATTTACTTGACCACTTGACCTCACTGTAATAATTGTCTGACGCGTGGATACACGTACATATTGACCAGTTTTCATACTACCATATACTGTGAAATTATTAAATTAAGTTTCTTAAATTATTTTCAATGTGTGCATATATATGTATTAAGTGCATTAAGATAAATCAAATTATTAGCACCTTGTTTCGCCACCGATGAGCCTTCAAAAATATTTCCATCTCCATTTATTATATGGAACAATTTTCTCATTTTTCCTCGCTATGCAAATCGGTTATTGAAAGTCAATCTTAACAATCTCTTTGCTTTCTCTCGTCAAATCAAGTATAGCACGTTTTTTTTTTATTTTAAATCATGTACTATCGTTATTTAGAAATTTCAGACCATCAGTTTTCGACAGTGTTTGCATTTTTTTTTTTAGTTTTTCGAAAATTTCCATATGCACGAATTACATTACATGAAACCGATTTTTATACCCGACACAGAGGTCAAATTAAATTTACCTGTTGTTTGTCACGTACAGCAATACGTATCAGAATTCCCGACAGAGGCGGTTTATGTACATTATATAATTACTTTCCAGCATTGCGTGCAGCGGAAACAATTTAGATACATCGATATATTTTGTCTGTTGGAAAAATGATTATGACCTCAAAGCTGTGTCTCAAAAAATTAATCAGGAATTCAAATTATTTCTTATTACCCTTACTATTGCAGATAAATCGGATAAAGGTTATGTCAACATTTATCGAGAAACAGGTAGGCTTTTTCTTTCTTAATTTCTCCTTGATAAAACGTCCAGATTAAAGTTGAAAATGCAAGATGATGTGCGTGTGATGATGTGGAAGGTGTTGTGAAACGAGAAACCCATATAAAAATACTTTTTGTTTTCTTTATGATAAGTTCGATGCGATTTAGTTGGATGGGGTTAATACTGCAATTAATTGTAGTGTCCAAGTCAGTGGTGGTTGTTGTGGTTGTTATTATTACATTCCATCCAAGCCCGAAATATATTGTCTCTAGTTATTTTAGTCTAATCGAAGTAAAGCATTATGCGTTTGGTGTTCCAAAGGATACATAAATCTTGTCTTGCTTTCATTTCAAATCAATGACATATATTTTTAGTTATTTGCGGTTAGATGAGCACAAGAAAAATTTGGCATATCGTGTATGCATAACTTACGTTTCAAAAACTCCAACCTGAACATTGCATTGAGTATGCGTGTGCATGTACGTGTACGCGCACGTTTACATGCGAGTGTATATGTGTGAACTGTCAGCTATTTTTTTACTGCTTAGAAGTCTACAATTAAACTGTGGATGTTGACGGTCGAACACCTCATTCGGAAATTCATACATATTACTTTGCACCATAATCCATAACTAAGCTTAAAATTTAAAAATATTTTCATATACTTTTGAACATATCGTACTACTTTTTTTACTAGCGCAATTTGAAACTACTCAAAAGTATCCTTATTATTTATTTGCAGAACACGTTGCGTCTCTGAAATTCGACGTAAAGTTTACATAGATTTTTCACTTGCTATTAATAGATTCCATTATGGTAAATGTTTGTTACCTTTTGAAAAGCGATAACAACCTACTCTTTCATTGTGGATATCAGTGAACCTACATTTTTTTTTTTTTTAGTTATTATTTCAATATTTGCGTATATAGATGATGCGTATGTTAATGACAAAAGTAGAATAAAAACTGTATAATCATTTGATGACTATATATGGGTCAGACATTATCTTTAACATTAATATAATATCATCTTTTTTTAATCATCTTTTTGCAGTCAAGTTAGAAGTAGTCTCAACCGGTTGAAATGGTCATTAACATGGCCATACTTTTAATCTGTAATTCTCTTTGCTTAGCTTGGTTAAATGCATTTGGTTATTTGCTAATTCAGCTATCCCAAGTTATCCTCAGTTTAAATTGTAACATTTTATCAAATAACCTAAACAAAGAAATAGTGACATATTTCAATTTTAAAATTTATTTTCAACTTTTAAAACTCTACTCTGTGCCAATCGGAGCAAGTGCAAATTTAAAAATTTTAAATATCTCATAACGTCAACTAAAAACACCTTGCTATGCCGATCACGATAAGTGGTATTACGGTGTTTATACAAACCATCAATCGATCGACGGTTAAACGCTGTAGATGAATAGGTTATTGAAAACGAGGAGATGTGGAAGCAAGATGACTTACCTCTCATAAACTTAACTTTGACAAAATATTTTATTTACATGAAAAATAACTTGAGCTTATTAAATGTAATAATAAAAATAATGCTGGCTAGTTGCAGATGTTAAAATATGTATGTATGTAACTCTGGAGGAATGGAATGAAATGAGCAAATCAGGTAACCCGAAGTAAAATTAAATACACTGCTCAAACACAATTTTGGAGCAGTTATGTCGAGAAAGCATCATGTATCGTGTTAAGAAAGCCGGACCGCAGCGCTTCAAAAATTAAGTGAACCGTACTAGAGGTGGAGCCTTTGCGACTACACTAACAAAGTGAGAAACTAAACTTTATCGTGATATTAGCTCTTGAAAGCTAAGTAGAGAAAAATGGTTTAAATATTCGCGTGCCTTTAGTTCACGTTATTTAAATATTCCGAAGATTATTTCCGAACCATTAAAGATATGAAGATATGTCAGCCATTGTCAAAATATTATCTCCTTTAGACTTTATTGCACCTCTTTAATAGTATTGAGTGCTTGAATAAAGGCGTGAGGCGTAAACGAGGGCATTGCAATTCAGTGATTAAAAGTTGCATGAGTACAGAATTACCGTGAGGCGGCAAATATGACCTAAGATCTTCATACACAGTTTCAGTGTATTATTATCCACTATTCTTGATTCTGTTTATTAAATGCTTTTTAAATAACCATTTATTAATTTACATTTTTTAAAGACTAAATGCTTTTTATAATACATTGAGTATTTTTCTCATGTTTTCATGCACTCAAGTAATAATCCGTCTTTAGAAATTTCTTTAAAAAAATATAGCCTTACTTTGTTATGTTTTATACTGATTGCACTTTTTTTTCTCAAAAAGAGAAGAAAAAATTCAACCCAAACCTAGACCGCCTCCTTACTTCTTATATTCCATATATATCTGATATCAGTTATTGAAAAATGCAATCGCTGCGATTATGCGATTTAGGACAACAACAAAAAAAAAAAAAACAGTTTCTATGAAAGCAATAAATCACCATACCCGTATATTAATTATAAGTAATGTATTATACAATTAATGAATACTTTTCATGCAAATCATGGAGAAGTCGCTATTGTCAATACCGTCTATGCGAAGCGAAAATGTTATCTTGAAAAATGTTTGTTAAGAAATCATTTGAATTAAATCAAAATTAATAGTAACAACCTTGCCATTTATCAGCTTTTAAAAATATATTTATAAGCGCGTAAGCGTGAATTGCTATTCTTTTAATTATTGTCAAGGCGCTTGGTTACGTATATTATTAGTGTGTGTTCTAAGCGTTAAAAAATTGCTTTTATTGTAACTGTGTCAGGTTTTTTCTTTTCTTTTTATCGTTGCAATTGAATTAAGTCTTAGATACTCTTCGCTTGTCTCGATTGCGCAGCACGCTCACTACTAAAATAGAAAAAGCAAAAAAGAAGAGGAAGACCGGTAAAGATCGGTATTAAAGTGACAACTTGTTTTCGTCAAGTTTGGTTAGGCCAACTTACATTAACGATTTTATACACATTTCTTCTTAATATCCACCATCGAGGTAACTATATTAGATTCTTGTATATGTTTGACGCATGGATATGTAAGCTAAAGGCGTCACTTTACTACACTACACTGCACGCTCTTCTTTAACATGAATTAAATTAAAATTCCCTGCACTTTAATCTTTATTTCATTGATCTTATTCGAAATGTAAGTAAAGCGGGCGATGCTTATATTGCTTTACGTACTTCTTGTCATTTTCATTTATTTACAGAGCCGATAGCCTGTGTTGCTAGTGCTCAATGCATCTTTTTTAATCTAAGAATTTATTTCATTAGTCTAAAATTAAAATAATAATAATAAATATTTATTTACAATCCGCCTGAGTAGCCGAAGGCGAGGAATCTCGACTAGCAAGTCAATGGTTGTGGGTTCGAATCTCAAGTGCGGTAGAGTTTTTAATAAAAGCCGATAGACTTAGATGCTGCTAGTGCTTTTAAGATTTTAGTCTTAGAATTTATTTCTCTGGCGAAATTAATAATAATAATAATAATATTTATTTACAGTATGTGCAATTCTTTCGATAGACGGCATAACTTCGTTTATCTTCATCAAAGAACGACTTATCGCGTTTCCTCTTTTCAGAAAAATAATATATTTCAACTTATAAACGAAGTATCTTGAATACAACGCATATTGTAAATGCTGGGTATCAGAAATTCGGCGTTAGCCGAATCAAATAACCTTTTCCTTTTTTTTGCTTCTTGTTTAATAAATTGAAGCATGGTTTTATGTGGCAATGTGTATGCGCGCGTTATACAAACGAACTCTTAACTAACTATATTGTCATTTAATCATCACATTTAACCTTGACTTTCGACGAATACAGACGATTATGTGAAAAGAATTAAATCGGCAAGTAAGATTTAAAAAACGAATTTACATATATATATATATATATATATATATATATATAAATGAGCGAAGAGTTCACTTTTACTAGCTTGTATTCGTATTCATATGCTTGTAGCAACGCACATAAACAGGAAACCAGCTTACAGCCAACACATTTCACTGGCTTTAAGTTTTCTTTCCACTTTACTTGTCAAACGGTACTGCACTTTGATCTCTTCTTTTTAAACTCACCTTAGAGAAATAAAAAAAAAAAACCAATTTTTTTTTTTAATTGAGAATATACATATATATATATATCGCGTATATATATAATATATATATTTATATGAATATATATAATTTTTTATTAATTGTATTTAAGTGAACAACGAATTCGCGTAATTTTTGCTTGTTTGATAGTTTTTAATCGTTTTTATGATATACATTTAAGAACGTCGCTTACTTGACCGTTTGTTTTTCCGCAAATGTTTTTTTTTTTTGTTTTTTTGTATTTTTGCATATGCAAACAAAGTTCATATAACACGATAAGTAAATTATTTAAAGATTTTTAACTCGTTTTAAAAAGTGAAGCATTAAACATCTCCCCACTTTGAAATATAATACATGACTGAAATTGAAGTTAATATATCGATGATAGCAAAAGTGAATAACGACGAACAATTGGAACAAAAAAATGAAAAGTAATCGCACACGCATGCACAACACAGTCGACTTAAAACATAAAAGTACATAACATAAAAAGCAAGAGAGAATACATAAAAAAATAAAGTGTAGAAAAAGGAAAATAATAAAACTGCACAAAAAAATGAATAATAAAAACAAACCTATCAACAAATATAAATCGCACGTTGTTATGTGAATATTTGCATTTAAATATATATATAAATACTATATTTACACATCATAGAAAAGTGTATACGTGCATAAGCCGATCTCACCTCCTTTACAACAATGCATTTTAAATCGCTAAAGATCTCCATATATATGTACGCATGCATATGTTTTGTGTAAAGGCTAAATTAGCGATATCGTAACGATATGTGATGCCTTAGTCATTTTTTTTTTTTGCTTTTTTCTCCTTCTCTTAATGATTGCCAATCTCCGCCAATTCTAATGCTGATGCATTCGAATTCTGTTGTACAAATTGAAAGGATTCAAACGCTCTGAATACCTTTGGTACAAAAGTTCAAAATTTACCATTTACACATTTCCTAAACAACTATATATACTTTTTGCTTAGCGGCCCATAGCGCTTTTTAAACTGAAAACGAGAAAATAAGTTTTATGTATTAGGTGCTAACATGTATTTTGACCCGTTTTTTCATTTGAAATATGCATTCATTGAGAAAAATTGATACAATATATGTTAATCAAATTATTTTCCATCATATTCTACAACTTTTCCTCATCTTTCTGGCAATATGGTGATACCGTGTCGAAAAAGCGTTACTACTACTTTGGCAGCGATCCAATCAGCAACTCATTTTCGTATTTGTTCAATATTTAGAAAACGAATGCGCTATACCTATGCACGACAGAGCTGCCCGTTCGAGCTGCTACATTGTATTCTGGACAAAAGCTGCACCGACGGCGGCTTTGCGTCTGATAATCGCTGTTGCTGGTATTTTTTTGCAACAATACATCGTTCAATTTGTTCAATTAACGTCGGTGAACATCTGTAATAGCCAGGGTCATTCGGTTTTTTGTAGCTCGTAATGCAGTACACCTTGCTGATCCCACCATATTCACAGCAAAACTTTATGCCCATGGGTATTTCGCTTGGATACCGATGGGTGGATGGCTCATGACCTTTTGCCCTCAGGATTGTCGTAGCAGATGCACTTTTCAACGCCAGTTACAACACGTCACAGAAAACTCTGCTTTGTTTGCCTGGCCAGCAGCGAAAGCAAATGAAAGTAACGAATGTCGGAAATTTTGTCGGCAATTTTGAACGTTCGATGATTAGCGCCTATATACAATGAATAACTCGATGATATCAAATGTGAACTGTTATTTTATGTTGAAAAAGGTCAAACGTAATTGAATTTAACTGGTATGTACGTTGATATATCGCATTTGTTTATCATTTTCATCAATAGATGTTGCTGGCCAAAATAAACGCAAATACCTACTATATTTGGATCAGGTGTATTGAGACTAGAATCATTGAATACGTCATGTTGATCGTTTTTAATTTTCAATACTCAAAAAAATAATTAGAACGTATATAAGGTTTCAAAACTTTTCTGGTAACTTTCATTTGTATGAAAAGACATTCAGAAATATCCGCAATCAGTTGTTCTACACTCTTATACTTATTCTAGTGCCCAAAATCTTTGTAACATATACGTATTGCTTTTGTTGCTTACATTGCACTACGGTACGGTTTTACTAAAAATCCAACTTTTTCCTCTTTCTTTCTATCCTCTCTTCATATTTTTATTTTGTTGCTTTTTTAAATCTCTAGATTTCTTTGTCGCTTTTTCATTTTAGAATGTATACTACATTTTCTATGCACACATGTGTCAAGTTATCCATCCAGACACTTAAATATGCGCAGTTTTAACGCCTGACCCCTGCGTCTGGTCAAGATAACATCGACATTGCAGCTTAAGCCTAATAATATATAAGAAATCTTAACTATTCAGGAAAGTATAGGTAACAGGTAAATAGGAAAATTATCCTTACCAATATTAAAAATGTACGACTCAAGGTAGATACATGAAAGTTGTTGAAATTGATTAACTAGAAACACAGGAATATAGGGAAAATTTCAAGATCATATTCTTAATGCCTAAATAGCGCGACTAAATATTCGTGATGGATTTTTGATCAGGTCCTTTGACCTTCGAAATTGCTGAGGCGAATATTGTTGGAAGTGCGTTTTAAAAGCACTCTGGGCACATAGAATCCACTACAGAATTGATCGGCGCAAATTACATTTTCACGCTTATTGTTTTAGAAATTCGAACAATATATATCTACACTAACCTATAATCGCATTCATTTTTTGGAGTTTACGACGGTTATCCCTAGACGTTACAAGCGGGATGTCAAACTGGGAAGCTATCATTTGGGGATGGTAATCGTGTTTGCTCATATACAATTTCTCTTCAAAAGCTTTGCATAAATTTGAATGTCTGCATCGCAATGATCAGTTTATCATTGATTTGTATAAGGTGTCGCCATATCTAGCACAGGGTATCAGAACCTTTTCGTATTCACCATCGAAAATAAGGTGACATTTTTATTTCACCAAGAACATTCGTGAACTCAAAGACTACATATAATAATAATAGTATATAACAAGGTGTAGTATCGCAATATTCCTTAGTTTAATAGTTTTTTTATATGCCCAATTTTTTATATGACCAATTAACATGATGACGGCCACAATTAACTGAGGAAAGAGAAATAAAGACGGAAACAGAGAGGTGTTGGACGCAAACTAGCGGCTATGTGCTCAATCAGAAAAGGTTATGCCCTTACCGACTGAGTACTCAGTCAAAGTCAACTCTACCGAACTGAGATCTGAATCCACGAACGCTTATTTCATAGTCGCGACTCTTACTTGCTCGGCTACTCATGCGGAATAACATGAGTTATAGATTGCGTATTGTGCACATTTCTTAATATGTTTAGGGCGACTATCCACAACGAACTTTCCCAGTTTAATAATCCTACACTTGCACTTTTCAACCTGTATCTAAAGCACATTTGGGAATCAAAGAATGTCAACTTTACATAAATATGCATACGAATAAGAATGCTCATGTGACCAGGAAGAAGTAGGAGATTATAGTCGCTTTAAATACTTGCTTATCTTTTCGTGTCTTTTCTAATAAACATATTTTGAAATTACAAGAGATACGCTTCTCAAGTGTCACTGTTTCCAATGACTTTTTCCTTTTCTGGAAAGAAAGAATTTAGCATATTCCCGCTTAAACTGAGCCGCAGGAATACAAATGCATTTCAGGGAATGTCTGACAACTGAAGCGTAAAATGTAAAAAGATGTGCATTCTTAAAATAACAACAATTCTCGAACATTTTCAGATTAAAATTTTTACATGATTCAAGTAAAGCAAGTTGAATAAAAGAAATCAATTTATATGTGCCCAATCTACTGGTCATCCCGACCGTCTTCTGGCATTGTGATCGATCGCTGCATTCGATAGCAGTTGGCGACTAATTTTTCTTATCATAGTTTTTATGAATTTGATTCAAAGTATGTATTCCGGAATAACGGCCATAATAATTTTTTTATTTGAAAAAAAATTTTTTTTTATGACTTCCTTATGATCTGAGACGTCTCTAACCGCGACAACTCAAAAACATAGCGTCATTAATATTGGGGTTTTATCATATGAGGAGGGATACGAAGATAAAAAACAGCATATTATTAAAAATTGATATTAAAATTAATATTTGTTAATATTAATATTCCTTTTTGCTTAATAACGTCATTTAAACGTTTTGATATATTTTGTATAATTCTTCTTGTGTAGGAAACAGGGATCTTACTCCATCCTTTTTGTATACTATTTTTCAAATCTTGAACGGTAGATGTTGAGTGTTTTCGCACACGCCAGTCTAATTCATTCCACAGATTTTTTTATGACGCTCACATCTGGTGATGAATTAGACCGGCTTGTGCGAAAATACTCAATTTCTTCCAATCTCGTCCAAGCTGTGAAAAATAGTATACAAAAAGTATGGAGTAAGATCCCTGTTTCTTACATAAGAAAAATTACACGTTATATGTCGAAACGTTTAAATTGACGTTATTAAGTAAAAGGATGTCCCACCGAATAACAATTTTTAATAATATGCTGTTTTTTATGTTCGTATCCTTCCTTGTATGAAAAATGAATGTATATGATATGCAAGATATACAGTCCCTACTTATAATGAGCGAATGGATGGATGATGTTATTGCTTTCATCAAAATCCAAATATATTATGTTTTCATTGTCTCTTTTAATATCGAAGGCAAAAAGGTGTGATGGCATTGTCGATCTAATGTGTTGTGTAAATACGACGGCATATGTAGTTGAAACAGCATACATATATGACAAAGCGTCTTACGCGTAAATATATCAGCGTGCATAACCTAAAGCAGTAACATATCACAAATAAAGCACAACATAGATGCACACGTTTCCTATAAAATATGTTGTGTGCCTTGCAATAATGTTGCATAAGGAAAAGATTCTTCTTGAATAAAAATTATTTGAAAACGAAGAGGTCGACATAGTTTAAATTTTAATTTATTTCTTTAGGAGGAAAAAGATTAGGTCTTACTTCATATTATGGACGCAATTTTAAAATGTAGGTAAATAGATTTCACTCTTTATTGCGAAAATCAAGGCATCGTATGCGATTTGTAAAGTCTTTCTAATCGATATAAACCTTTGGTTAATAAAAAATACACGTTTGGTTGGGGTAAAGTGTAATAAATGCAAAGCATAATGTGCATTATACACACACACACACACACACATTATATCACGAAGCATATGAAATGTAGATGTATGCATTAAAATATTGAAAGCAACGACAGACATTAACATTTCGTCAACCTGGATAAATTTGTAAACGACCAGAAAAATCAGTTCTCGGAGGTAAAATGCTTAAAGCTAACTACTGGTTCAAAGATAAATGTTTTGAATAAGTATCGAGTTTTCGATAAAATAAATTTCATTGATTCTATGGCCGGTTTTTAATGGAGCCTTTTAAAGCATGTCCATCTGTTCATCTGTGGAATGTCTGTGGCCCGCATTCTTTCGGTCTCAAAGATGAAAGTATTGGATTCGAATTTGGTAAAAATATTGAAGGTTCTTGCAAGCAGGTTGGTGTTGAAAATAAGCCAAATCGGCCAAAGAACGCACCTACAGTGCAACATGAATTGACATCATTTCTGCTTATTAGATTTTTTCGTATCCGCCTGAGTAGCCGAAGGCGAGGAATCTCGACTAGCAAGTCAATGGTTGTGGGTTCGAATCTCAAGTGCGGTAGAGTTTTTAATAAAAGCCGATAGTCTTAGATGCTAGTGCTTTTAAGAGTTTAGTCTTAGAATTTATTTCTCTGGCGAAATTAATAATAATAATAATAATAATAGAGTTTTTCTTGCACATCACTTAAAAACGGCAACAGGTGAACAGCAACAATTTTCACGTATTTCCTACACAAATAGAAACAAGTGAGAAAATTACATTCGGTCGTGACCGAGAGTTTTATATCCATCATCCTTACCTTAAAACAGATAAAAAGAAAGTAAAAGGACTATTGATTTTTTCCATTTTTAAAATAAAAGTCATTGTCGCATAGGCATGTGAGCGTCGTAGGCATGCCCTTCGGAAAAGTTCAAGTCACTTACAAATTCTTTTGAGAATGTTTACACAGTTGCGCAGACCGACAAATGTACAGACGAACAGACGGACATATTTAGGTGCACTTCAAATTTGAAACTGATCAATAATTTATATATTTTATGGCGTTTTTGAAGCCTGTTTTTGCGCATTATAAAGTTATTGAAAAATAATTAAATTTTGATGCGCTGCAATATTGGGTAGGTATTGTCAATTTTTTCCAGCTTTGTGCAGCCATCGTAGCATCGCGCATAGGATATGCTTTCTATCCGCTATATCTTAGAAGATTTGGACAAAAAACCAGTTCTTTATTCCTGCCCTACGACCATTTTATCAATATCAACTTGCGCGTAAGAATTTTCAATGTTTGTGCCAAATTTGAATGGATTCAGAATTTGATACCGTGAGCACAAGGTGATGTTCCGCTTTAAGCGAGAAATTTTATAATTGAACCATAAGTGTAACAATGTTTTCTATTCTTCACAAAATGCGAACACTTTACAGGAGAGATGTAGTACAAGATAGCCATTGGTCAGGATATGTATGTAGCTATGTCCATAAAACACTATCTAAAGCGATTAAATTAGCTTTTTCGTGCTTTCAATTGTCCAAAGTACGTGAGAAACGAATTAACCTTTGCAAAAATATTAAGAGATGAGATTTAAAATTTCCAGATGCATTTAAGACTCCGTCAAAGGAATAATTCAGGCCAATACATTGTCACACTCGCTATCTCTACGCACATAAATATAGAATAATTTTTAACGTAAATTAAATTCTTTGCGCCTTAACAGGCAATAAAGTGAAGCCATAAAGGTGTACATTGCTTTACAGATTGCATTTATGTAAATAAAAATGCCGGATCAAGGTGAATACAATTTGTTTAAGAACTATTTTGTACGTTGTAACGTACCACTTCCTGAATTTCTTCGTTTTCTTCATCGCTATGGACATCAGTTATTTGAGTTTTACGCATCGGATTCCAAATCATGTCAAAATCAAGATTACACTCATTAGCGATGCCCTGCACTAAGGGCTTTTCCAAAAGTCCCATAGAACTCCAATTAGGATTCTTAATGATAAGCTCCTTTAACACACGCGCTGCTTCATTGTATTGTTTCGAATAGGCCAACGCGCGTATCAGCATAATCAGGATATCTACTTGTCGTATGGGCGGCGTTTCTGGCTTAACTAAAAATATATGCAGAGTAAGTTATGCTCATAGCAGCAAAAGCAAAAAACAATCTTTATTTATTGGAAATTTTTCAGAGATCATCTTGGAAAATAAATTTCTCTTCAAGCCGACCGAAAACGACTTCCTGGGTCGAAGCTCTCAATACTGGGTACCTGCTGCCTAATGCTAATACTATTGATTTCCAAATTCTGCGACGCAATAATACTCTTACATCTTTAAAATGTACTTAAAAGCGCCTCCTAACAAAAACATCTTAAACTAGCTTTAAATTAGCTTTAATTGGGCCATTGGATAAATATGAAAGTGAAACTCTCCCGAAACTAAAATTTCTGGTGTTGGTTACGTATTCGGCTATTGAGTTATACCACTTCCTGTCGTTTTCGATGTCATTTCGCAAGACTTAAAGTACGATCTTATCTTTCGAACATAAAAACTCCGTGCGAGGAGAGGACGGATGAACATTTGAACAAGCATTTTTATGATAGTAAATCACCTCAAAAGTTTGAGCACATTTTTCTTGAGACACGAATTTTCAAAACGAAGAAGAGCATAACTCAAGTTTCTCTAAACAGTTTACTAAGCAAGGCCTTAAAACAACATTTCAAATTTTGATGGAAATTTCCAAGGAAACTGCGTATTCCTCGAGCTCTAAATATATAGATTAAATGCTTTAAATTTTTATTTATTTTTTTTTTTTCTTAATTCAAATTTGCACAAATCACACTGCTTGCCCGAGAGACTTTCATTTAGATAAACCGCACATGAGTCGTTCCAGGGTTGCCGTATTTTAATGTTTTTCAAAAACATTGTTTTTTGTTGAACATTTAAACAAATGACATTAATGACATTATTCAACATTGCTATTCCATTAATTTTGCTACCATTTTAGGTGGCTATAGCGGCTTATCCCCTTAACTAAGAGATGTTTGTTAAAACGGTTAAAGTTAATCAATCAAAAAAATTCGATGCGCTTCACAACATAATGTCACTACGAAGCTGTTTCTCACGTTCGCAGCTAATCGGTCTAAAATAGCACTGAAAGCGCTTGATATATGCTTAAATTGATGAACATAGCTTCGAGGCTTTAAATGGCGGCATTTTTAAGTAGTTTTATCTATTGGCTTCACTTAACATTTTAAGTCAGGAAAGCCGTCTTGATTTTTGCGTATTTCTAAAGGTCTTGTGAATACTTTCTTTCACCTGTAAACTAAAAAACCGTTACCTATGAACGAAAACATGTTGAAATTTAAAGTATGCTATCGCTATGTTCTCTAGAGTTGATTTCGATTTTTCCTAATTGAAAAATTCCAGCAGTGGACGTTAAATGAATCGACGTAGCTAAAGAACGTTATAAGTGTGCTATGCAAAACTGGTCGTGTATTCCTGACGGTTAGTGGTAGGTAACAATTTAGCTTTACATTATATAGGAACTTACTTAGCATATTTCTACAACCGGCAATGACACTTTGATTGTCGCCATTTTTTAAAGCATTTTGTATGTTTAGTATTTCTTTTACTTCGGCCATCGTTCTTTGTAGATTCACGAAAGCTTGCTGTGTGTGGCTTCCTAATTTCTCTAAGCATTTAGCAGCCTCTTGCATTGCCTTTAAAGCTTTTTCATAATCATGATAATCATCAATTTCAATTTGTGCACATATGGCATAAAAATTAGCTAACGAGTCATACGCTTGACCTTTTGAATAAAAGGTTACGATATATTTTAAGATATTATTATCCTCCTGCCAATTAAGAGCTTGCAAGTAGTTTGCCGCCATAATATATACTTCATGCTGTCGCGATATATTCGCGAAGTAAATAATTTTTTCAGTATTGCCTGATTTTAATAGACTTTTCATGGCTCGTACCTTATCCCCGGCTTGAGTGAACTTTTTAGTGGCTGTATGATAATCGCCCTGTTGCTGTGATAACTCGCCCAATTGTACTAGTATGTATATACGTGTTTTTTCATCGATTTCACCTTTTTGCGGCGTTAACATTTCAGCTAATTCTTCCGTGATCGGTACACCTTTATCAATGCAAATTTGTATTGAGCGATTAAATTGTTTAGTCTTGGCTAATAAATGTACGGCCTTTTGGTGCTGTTCAACGGACGTAAAGAAATCGGCACAACGACTAATTAACTCCGGATCGGATTCCGAAGTAAGTTCGGTGGCAATTATTTCTAAAATGTCAGGCTGTTCAGATTTGAAGGCCAAATCTAAGGCTTTGTGCAGCATACCAGCGCGATGATAAAGTTCAACAGCACGTTTATATGAGCCACATTCTTCAAAATATGTGGCAGCTATAGCTTTTTCGCGAGCGCGCGATGAATTTGCCACTGTCCACAGTTCATCTTGATAATCATTTTCTTTGCATATTCGTATGGCGTTGGCGAAAGTTTGAGCCCGTGTATAAAACATAATCGCGTCTTGAAATTTCCCCACATTCTCATAATGACGAGCTAGATGATAACATGCGGCCCGATTACCGGATTGGCGGGCTACCGCATCAGCTTTAGATATTTTACCCAAATAGCAAAGAATTTTAACCTAAAATTCATAAGATATTAACGGCATTAACCCAAATCTATCAATCTCATCCCGTACCTGTGAATACCAGTCTTCAGCCTTTTGATAGACGGCTAAGGCTGCGTCCATATCACCGGAACTTTCAATATATTGACCCCACCATTTCAACATTTTCGGATCGCTTGTATTTTGCATGTAACGCTGAAGAAGTGTTTTCAAAAGGAATTATAATTACGCAAATTGCCGTTATCTAATTTCTGACACCTACTTTCATGGCTGTTGGAGATTCTAAAAGCATCTGTGTAATATGTTGGACGGGATTTTGTGTTTTTTCAAAATACTGTAACGCATTGGCAATATCACCGTTCTCTCGACACTCTTGAGCCTTGTGATAATATGCGTTTTTCAAATGTATTCGGTCTTTTGTTTCCGATATTTTAATGGCCTCTTCCACATTCCCTTTCGCTCTAAAATGCTTGTTAAGTAAATCGAAGCGTCCTGTTTTCGTGTAAAATTCTTCAGCTTGATCATTTAAGCCCAATTCAACAGCTAATAATGCAGTTTTAGCTTCTATTTCTAAATCGTCGTCTGCTAGAGCCTGCCGTATAGCGCGTACTGATCTGGCATTTCCCAAATGACCCATGCATACTTTGGCAACATCCATACGTTTGCGTTGGACACACATTTTTGCCAAATTGGTCCAAACGGCTTTCGATTCTATCGAACGAATGCTTCTATAAGCTAAATCCATATTGCCCTCAGCTACATGCATACTAAAATTTAATACCATTTTTTTTGTATTTACGTCACACTCCTTAAGGTCCACAAAATCCCTCAAAGGCTTTTCGAATATTAAATTTATATTCAACGTAATCTGTCGAATATTTTGCGCTAACCTCAAACAGTAGTGGTCAGAAGGAACAAAGACTTACCACATTTGGTATACAAAGATTAAGCAATTGCTCATTTGTCGTAAAAGAAACGAATTCGATGACACTTAAGGTGTTCCTTTCCGTATAGAAAACGATCCATATATTCGTATCGACTTGCTGATTAGACGACTCGGATTTTTTAACATTAAAAGTTTCTTTCGCATTTTCTGATTCGCGTATTTGTTTTGATTTTACCTCTAACGCCAATAAACGGGGCTCATCTATATCCCACCAAAAACCAACGGGTACACTACAAATTTTGTTTATCTCTTTAGTTATTATTGAGTTTCGTATAAAATCTTTGAGTACCTTGACTTGTTCTTGTTCTCATTTTTTTCAAGGGACATTTCCATGAGATAATTACGTTCGAAATCCCAACAATAGAGCGTGGGCTTTGGCATAAAATTTCTATTAGCTATGATTAAAGCCAGATGTGTGCCTAAAGTATTACACTTTGCTTGAATAATTTCGCTGAAATCATCAAATAAATCATAGGAACATTTCGAGGGAAACATAAGCTTGGGATCGTGACGGGACACGTCATATACCTTAATATAACCGTTCATGGTAAAGACAGTTAAACGACAACCTGATAAATCCATGCCAATAATTTTACCCTCATTATTGCTGGCTTGAATCTTATGCAATGCCACGCCTCCAATTGAAAAAACAGTGACATCGGCTGTAGTCAAGGAGTAGATATTTTGATTGTGCAACCCTAACGTCAGACATTCGGCAGAAAAGCTTTGCATGAACTTGACATTTAGACTTTGCGCATTTTTACCGCTGCTACCAGAAGATGAATCCAAATCACTTGCACCTCTTTCTTTTAAACTTTCGACTTTTTCTATGTTGTATGTGGATATGCTACGTCCGCTGGTTATTGCCAAATAGCTTTGATTTAACGCCAACGCAGTTACACAAAATTCCGCTTGAACAGTGCAACTTCGTCGATCTTTATGTTCCAGGTAGATATTTCGGGCACTTTGCTGCACTGCCCAGAGGTGACGCGTATGAAAAGCTAATAAGGGCTGTTCTTTTAAGACATAAACATTGCTTGCACAAAGAAGAAGAAGGCAAGGCTTCGCCAATTCGTTAAAACCCCATAAACATTTTTTAATCGAGCCGCGCACATAAGATATATTTGTAAGTTGCCACATATCTTCGGGCAGCGAGGCAGCGTGGCTAACTATCGAACGTTTCCAACTGTACAAATTTCCTAAATCTGTACCAGCACACAGCATTTGATTGCTTTCTATATAAGAGATGCAAGTGAAATGTTCACTTGTATTATGGATAGTTTTTTGATTTTTGTAACTCAGGTACATTTGCTGGCTTATCGAAGAACTATCAACACTGCCTTGACTAATGAAATTTGATGATGAAGAGTCGCGTTCTCTCATTGGTGTCGTATAAAGATTTGATAGATTCATTTTTAACGAGTAGTTATCACCTTTATCAATATCCCAAATGCGCACCGTCAAATCGCCTGAATAAACGGATAGAATATTTATAACAAGATGACAAGAACAAAGTAAAAGTAATAAAATGTAGATGAATTAGAAACCTGTTATTATCGCTAAAGAGCAACCAACCCAAGCGATACCTCCACCTTTGCTTTTCGAAACTTTGCTACTTAGCTTCACTCGTTCTAATTCCGTTAAAATTCCCGTAGTTTCCACCAAGTAGAAGATAACAGTCATGTCATCCATCAAACATACGACAGCATCCCTGGAAACTCAATATCATAAACACTGCTTCTTAGATACATCACGATTCTTACTTCTTAGGATGCCAAAGCATTTGTGTAATGGGAATTGAATTACCATCGAGCACCTCTGTGGATGTACCTCCTTGATTCACATAAAACAAACGTCCGCCTTGTGTGCATACGTAAAAGCAATAATTATCTTTGACATCGGCGGCATGAGTAACGCTGCGTGAGGCAGTTCTCGGTCGCCAGTTTGTTAGGGTGTCTAACGCGCTCTCATCACCAGCTACGGCTGCTTTAGCCAAATTCAACATCTCTTCGTGAGCCTCACTGCATATGACACGACGAAAAATTATATGGGTGAGAACATCACGCAAATCGTGCGAAAACATTGTCAAAAATTGATATTGACCATCGCAACGCCAACCGGTTAAAAGGCCCATGATATCGACTGTAACCATACGTCCTCCTTGCTCACTAAAATCCACTAAATTAATAGCAGCTTTATGAGGACCGCTGATACCCGCGAATTCGCGATGTCCCCCAAACCAAACATGTATGTCGCCATTTTCCCAACCTGTTATCAAAAGCACTTTCTCGGGATGCCAAGACATAGCAGTACATTGCGAGGTAGCATGAACTGGATAAGTAACATCACGTTGAGGTTCTCCCTGAATACATTTTATAAATTCTTTTTCAAACCACATTTATGTATGCATTGAACTCTATACATACATTATCTGTGAAAACCGTAACGGAACCACCACGGTCTTGACTGTAAGAAGCCACAGCAAATGCTGGTTCAACTGCATGCCAACTGCCAATAGTGCCTACGGCATCGACGTCAAGAAATTCAACTTTTGTATCAAAAAACAAAGTCATTGCTAAATCTCTTTTTAAGTAAACACTAAATACTCAGGCGACATTGACATAACAACTTACTAAAGTCAATACTTTAAAGTCTTGAGTTGCTACGGTTACATCATAACAAAAACAAAATAATAACTCCCCACATATTTCGTTGATTTCGGTTTTTTATTCTACAAGCAATTATTTAAATACAATATAATTGCAGGCTATTATTTTTATTAATACATTATTCATTTAAAAATGGTAGCTTAGATTGGATCAAGAAAAATTATCAATAAATCATTATAACGGTATTGGATAAGCCTTTTAAAGGTAAGTCAAAAAACTAGGATCCACTAACATACGACGTTCCACTTTTATTTAGGAATGCTATTCCCTAATTAATTGTGCAAGTATGTGTGTGCTAACTGAAAGACATATATATGTTATACACATATATATTAGTTTGGGGAAAAATAAATCCATTATTTTTTCGGTAGATGGCTGCACTGATAGATTTCTCGTAAAGTATCGATCAAACAATTTCATATTTATGCTCGTTGGAAAGGTGACATTTCGCAGTAAAAAAAATTCTTTTGCTGTTTTTTGTTTGGTGCATTCAGTTGTGAGTTACAGCGTGTTAAAAATGGAAGTCAACAAAGAGAAAATTCGGTACATTTTACAGTTTTTCTTTGACAAAGGCGAAAATGCAAGCCAGGCGGCTAAAATTGTGAATGGTGTTTATGGTTCCGATACTGTAACAGCCAATTATGTGCAATTTTGGTTTTGTAGATTCCGTTCAGGAATTTTTGATTTTTAAAGATGCACCTCGCACAGGTAGGCCGGTCGTCGAAAATGTCGATAAAATCGGAGAAATGATCGAAGTTGACCGGCATGCTAGCAGTCGTAACATCGCCCAGGAGCTAAAAATCGACCATAAAACAGTTTTAAACCATTTACACAAAGCTGGATTCAAAACGAAGCTCGATGTTTGGGTGCCACACCAATTAACGGAAAAAAACATGATGGATCGAATTTCCATCTGCGAAGCCTTGGCCAAACGGAATGAGACAGACCCAGTTCTTAAACGGATGGTGACTGGAGATGAGAAATGGATCACATACGATAACCCTGTGCGAAAACGATCGTGGTCAAAGAGCGGTGAAGCACCTCAAACGGCCAGGAAGGTTTTGCTATGCATTTGGTGGGACTGGAAGGGGATTATTTATTATGAGTTGCTTCCATATGGCCAAACGCTAAATTATGATCTCTACTGTCAACAACTGGACCGTTTGAAGATAGCGATTGACCAGAAACGGCCAGAATTGGCCAACAGGAGAGGTGTCGTGTTCCACCAGGACAACGCTAGGCCACACACATCTACAGTGACTCGCCAGAAACTTCGGGAGCTTGGTTGGGAAGTTTTAATGCATCCGCCATACAGTCCGGACTTGGCACCAACTGATTATCATCTTTTTCTTGCATTGCAAAATTTCTTTAATGATAAAAAATTGGAATCTAGGGAGGATTGTGAAAATCGACTATTAGAGTTTTTTGCAAATAGAGACCAGGACTTCTAAGAGAGAGGCATTTTGAACTTGCCTTTAAAATGGCAACAAATCATACAACAAAACGGTGCATATTTGACCCTAATCGGACAATCCGAAGCATGTTAAATAAAGTCCTGAAGTTCATATAAAAATAATGGATTTCTTTTTCCCCAAATTAATATATAACTCAATAAGTCCCTAGCCTGACACATATTGACAGGCCCCTATAATTCCTTGATAATGCCAGTCGTCTGGGTTTCGGATTTCGTTCACATCAATATGATCTAATTTAGGCCGAAAGAACTGTGTCATCGGACATCAGTAACAGTCGTTGCTTGACCAGCCTCATTTTCAAAAAAGTATGATCCAATGATGGCTCCATCCCAAAATCCGCACCAACAAGCAGTGACACATGTTCGGCAATCACATATACATTTTCTGAGCCCCAAATGCGGCTATTTTGACGATTAACGAAGCCATCAAGTCGCACTGTGGCCTCCAAACTTTAATTAGTTTTGAAATTTTTAACAGTGTTCAACAGTGAAAACGCTTTGCTCTGTCGTGTAATGCTTTTGAGCCATCTTATATAATCATGTTTCGGATTATATCGTTCGGATAAATATTTAATTAAGGAAGTTCTTCATCACGTTATAGATTCTAAATTAATTTATTTAATTATGTTTTTCTAAATAAGTATTTTTTGCGAAATTCATCAGTGTAGTCAGTGCTTAAGCACTACTGTTGCATGTAAGTGGATAGTGTTTTATATATTTTCATTATATTTGAGAAATCTTCCTGGCACAATAAGATCAAAATAATCCGACTTGTACCGTAGCATACTTGTTAAGAGGTTTTTCTTATAATAATTTTCAACTATTTATCGATGTGTTTTAAAATATGCACCTAATTCCCTTTTTACACGAAATTTGATTTAAAACAAGTTAAAGAGAAACCGATTCTCTCTTCACATGAGCTGTTTTGTTTTAACACGATTTTCAATATTCTATAAATTTTTTTCCCTTTCTAATGATTTCTTTTTTTATGTTTCTATGAATTTTTTCATTCGCACTCCTCACAATTACGCGTTGTCACTTCACATTATATTTTTCACAATTCATTTAGATTATGTTGGTTATTTGCGTATATGATAGACTATAGACGTAATGTACTTTTTGCGCAATTTAGTTTGATTTTTCAACAATTATAATTTATTTTTTTTGATATATATTTGATGAATAAAAATGTGTAAGCACAAAAAAAATTCTTAAGTGAACTCTAACAAGAAATTCTAATATTGTTCATTGTACCTTTCAGTTGCTTTTCTAGATCTAAAATCAATCTGTTATATTTCCATTTAGGCCATATCGCTTTTTCATGAATCTTTTACACGAATTTTTTGGCACTATATCTATCGTGTAAAAAGAGTTAGATATACATACATAAAATTCTCCACAAGTCACGCATTCTGAATTAATGCAGGAAATTTGAAAAAGAAGACTGGAAAGAAACGATATCATCTTGTCAGCACATTGACAAAACCTTATACAGACATCCCAGACTCAACATGGTAGTCGTAAAGCACGAGTGCGATACGACACGGTACAACATTTGCTACTTTTATTACTCGGTTTCCTTACAATACGATTTTAAAAAATCGAAAAAGTGTTTTTTTGAAGTTTATTTCATCGTTAATAAGAGTTGAATTTTGAGAAAACGAAAATCGATCAACTTTAGTTTGTTATAAAAATAAATTTCGTGATCGTCATATATTTCCAATTTTTGCATTTCACCATAATGTTGAACTTCATATTTTTTTTTTTTTATGAAAACCTGTAGTTAACTTGCTTTTCTATTCATATGTGCGTTTGAAATGAAAGTTCATTAAAAAATTTTACACCTTTGTTCCGGTATAACACGGTACGGAATTAACCGTGCTAAGCGGACGACGCCGATATATTACAGAAAATATGTGCATGGAAAATTATTTACTGGCAATTTATTTATTCAATTTTATATAATACAAGGTGTGATCAATAAAGAAAAAAATTAGCTTTTCATTCATTTCTCGAAAAGTATTTATTTATTCATCAGTATCTATTTTTTTTCCCTTCAAAGTAATCCTCCTTATATCCTAGACATAATTCACTTGTACCAGCGCTTCTTAATTTTTTTACTATATTTGTATATGTTTTCTATATTCAATATTTGCAATGATGCAACACGTACACATATTTATATATTTTATTCAGTTTTATATAATACGAAGTGTGTTTAAATAAATATTTATTTACTCATTAATATCTATTTATTTTGTCTCCTTCAAAGAAATCTCACTTATGTTAAACGTTATTCCAACCTTCGTGGCACTTCATGCGATAGGCGTTCCGATTTTTGTCTCCACAATCGTGGTAAAGCTCTGTTCGTTAATGGGTCTTTTCAATTTTGTCAATAGGCAAAATTTGCAGTGGGCCAAGCACGATGAATATGATGGCTGAGGCATGATTACGTTGTTGTTTTTGACCAAAAAATACGACGAATCTTTTGGTTCAAAATTTTGCAATTTTGGAGAAAACTTTGCTGCCGAAAACATCCGAAAATGTTGCACGGCATAAGCCAATCGACATGCCGATGTCTTCATCAATTTCTCAAGGCGTGATTTGACAATTCTCCATAACAATTTTCTTTATTGCTTCAACGCATTCATCGCTTATTGACGTGCTGGGACGCTCAGGGCGCGCGTCGTCATTAACATCTTCTCGGCCTTCTGTGAAGACCTTATAATACTTATAAACATTTTTTTTTTGCTCGAACTAGACTTCCCAAATGCCAAATTCAACGTGTTAAGTAAGTTGGAGCGGTTTCATTTTATTTTTCACACAGAATTTAATCCAAATTCTTTGATTCATTTTTTTTTCGATATCCATATAGTTCGAAATCGCCAAGCACACCAAAATACGTCTAACCTTTATATGCGTCAAAAACCAACTCAAAATGCAGAATTGGCTGATAGTGTCAACATTCGTTGAAGAGATTTGTACCAATATAACATTTCGAAAATCGAATGTACGTACACACCTCGTAGCTGTTTTTTAATTATATATAGATATATATATATATGATAGATATCAACAGCGAAGTCAATTTAGTCATCGTATCCATGTGTACGCCAATTCATTTATATATGTATGTATGAATATATTTATGTGTGTATGTATAAGAGCGGTGTGCGTGCCTAATAGTTTGCAAGGAAGAGTGAAGTTTGCATTGTAGAAGGCGCAAAGATCAGTAGGCCTTCAATTCCATTTTATTTTATTGACTTTTATTTTTTGATTAAAAACTTTGACCTTTTTTTTATATTTTATATATGTGGTTTAAAACCCTATACGATATATAATTTCGATAATATGACTTTTCGATTCGATGTAGATCTATTTCGTCGTCTGCCTTTCGTAAGAATTGTGAAACTGGCTCAAATACAGATAGAAAGTTAAATCTTTATAAATACACCTAAGAAATACAAGAGAAAAGCACTCCAAAGTCTTTCAAGAAAAAAAAAAAAAAAAACTCGAAACGATTTGTAAAGGCAGGAAATTGGCAAAAAAAGTCTGGAAATCTCTCTCTCGCTCGCTTGCAAAATTATTAATAGTGAACAAAACCGACGTCCATCTAAAATTGCACTTGCTGCAGTAGATAAAATCGAAAAGAACTAAACATTTTTTACTCCAAAGCACACACTTATTACCCTTATTACATTTATCACGCAATACGTACATTTGCGCTTTAATCCAAATAAGTTGTAAAAAAAAGAAAAAAAATGCTTAATCTGCGGAAATATGCGGACATATTCCCGGATATAGTTGCTTATCTGGGGAACGATTGCCATGAATTTTATGTTGAACGGCTTAAACGGCTAGAGGCAAATATTGTACTTTACTTTGCTGCATCGACTTCTATTAAGAAAATGTCAAATATTAGGCCAAGTAAGCATTAGTTTGAAAATTCTGAAATTATTTCATGGACTTTGTAATTGAAAGCACATATAAACACGTAGTGTAGCCTCCGAGAGAAGAGAACTTAAATCCAACCACTGTGTTGTTACTTATATTGATACGATGTAATCAACATTTCTTTCTACTGCTATATATAAGATTGATTTACAAAAAAACTCTTAGTCAATGTGTTCAAAATTCGTTTTATGCTTAATTTCTTAGTCTTCTTTAATGTGCATTCATTGGTGCATCGTGCATATTTAGTGTATTCTGAATAGAGAAAAGCCAGAATACAAAAAAAGAAACAAAGTTAACATTAAGTTAAACTCTCAAAGTTAATATCACTTTGCTTATAGACTCATTGAATAAAAATTTTTTCTTTTTAGTATGATTTCATATTCTGCTGAATGAATATCAAACGGTCGGGGTAATTTTATTTCTATTATAAAATGAGCGAGTTTTGGAAAATTGCCGGAGCTATAGTGCTACCCAATGTAGGGGGGGTTATAAATGGTCGTGTGACTCGTAAAAATCTAAATCCCTGGTACAAAGGCTTAAAATTTCCTTCATATCGTCCACCAAATTGGATTTTTCCACCAATGTGGTCATCACTGTATAGTAGTATGGGTTACGCTTCATATTTGGTGTGGAGAGATGGTGGCGGTTTTTCCGGTGACGCTCAACTACCGCTAATAGCTTATGGTGCGCAATTAGCTTTAAACTGGGCTTGGACACCAATTTTTTTCGGTCAACACAATATTAAGGGGGTATTATATTAATTAAAAGCAACTTTCTTTTATTTAAATTTTTCTTTTCTTTTAATACTAAATTCATTTGTTTTTAAATTATATTTCAGGGCCTTATTAATATAATTGCTTTGACAACAGCGGCCGCTACATGTGGTGCACTCTTCTATAAAGTAAACAAAATTGCTGGCTATCTTTTTATTCCATACATTGCTTGGCTTAGCTTTGCCACTTTTTTAAATTATGACATATACAGATTGAATTGTTTGGAGAGTAAGGAAGATACGAAAACTGAGAAACCCACTAAAGAGAAATGATGTATTCGCCCATCACGTCTTGGCGTTTTTATCATAATGAAGTCGCCTTTCTTTGCGGTCAGATTAAGTGTCAAATCAAATAAGTTTTTGTTTCAAATTTAAAATTAGTTTAATGCTTATTTACCTGTTTAATGCTAGTAAAGGGTTGCCCAGATAAAAAAATAAATAAATAAATAAATAAATAAATAAAATAAAATAAAACCTCTCTTATTATTATGCTGCGCAGTGTGCGAGGGTATGTGCGAATTTACTCGTTCCGATATCGAATATTTACTAAGAGGCTACGTAGATTTGTTTAATATAGATATGCGTCATCACCGTAAATTGTGCGAACCAAATTTATTCATATCTGACGCTTCGTCGACCAATTTGGACATGAAATCGGCCACTCATTTAATTGGGAAGATAATTTTAACACATTAAATTAAACGGATCGTTACACGGCTCCTCTGATTTTGAATTCTCATTATTTCTGAAAACAAAGATCGCCAAACCGTTACCAACCAATTCATGATATGATTGCATCTAAACTATTTATTGTTGTAAACAGAAAACCAATCCCCCCTTAATTCATTTTATGGTATTATTATAGGTATCAATGACGAAAATACCTTCAACTGTTTATTAATTTATAATGGCACTTTAAACACTAATTGCATAGCATACGACTGATGTCATCGTCTACGTCATATCATAATATGTGCAACGACTGCGTACAATAAAATCAAAATTGCTATTAAATAGCACGTTATGGAAATTGGCTGCAACTGTATCTCATTTTCCTCATTGATAGGCAAGCAGGCTAGAAGCTACTCGTGCGTCAATTAAAGACCAGCAATAAATTGTTTTCAACCCACATTTATTGATTTTTAGTCATATTCGGCATTGATTTGATTTCATTCAGTGTCGTTGTCGGTTGAAGTTTTTCGTTGTTGTGAGAAAAACGAAAACAAAAGAAAAATATTTAAAAGAACAAAGCTTTCGTAAGGGGACGAGAGATTAGTAAAGGTGCCTCAAAAAGTTTTATTATGCACGTAACAAATTGTTGTGTTAGTATTAATAGATATCGGATGGAAAAATAAAATGCATTCAAAATTATAAATTAAGCAGTTGGCCAATACGTTTCCTTTTACTTGTTGTTTACTTGGCAAGCTGATTAGTATCCTTAGAAACGTTCAGAGGCGCTTCCTCAGTAGGCGGCTCGAATATCTGATCTTTTTTTTCAACATCATTTGGACTAGTTATCGGTTCGTTGGCTTCTGTATTTGGTTTAACAATTTCTTCTACTTGCTGAACTGGTATTTGCTCATTCATATGCTTACAAGCGAAGGGGACGACGCTATCTGTTACCTTAGCATTAACATCTAAAGCTTTTTTAGGACTAATTTGTTGCGCTAACAATTGCGCACTTTCACCTACAGCAATGGTGTCCATTTCTTTGTATGCTTGAACGTTTGCAATGCCAATACTCGCCGGAAGAGCAGCTGATGACTTAACATCGCCAACATCTAAGATATTCTGTGGACTAGTTTGTTCAGCGGGTGTTATTGATTCGTTTTTTGGCATTTTAAGTGAAGTAGATTGACTACTTTCAGATTTAGCAACAGCAGCACCTACAGTTTTTTGTGGACTGGTTCGCTTAACGGGCAGTGATTCCGTTTCAGGTTTGACACTAACATCCATTCCTTTGTCATTGAATTCAACTTTTGGTTTAGTAATACCTTCTGCTCCCTTTGGCGGTGTTGGATGTTTCGATGTTTCATTTACAGTTTTTGTAATTGCCTCGATATTTACTTTTGGCAAAATATCGGACTTAACTGCGGTCTCTTTTTGTTGAAGGGACAGCATTTGCTGCTCTTGAACATTTCCAGACACATCCGCAAGAACTTTTTCGTGAGATGCTTTTATACTTTTTTTCACTACATCCACATTTGGTGATTGCGCTTTTTCAGTAGGTGTATGTTCAATGGTCTTGGGAGAAGGATCATTTATTTTAGTCGGAGTTACTTGCTTCGTTTGGTCTTGTTTAGTTGTGGCTTTCAATTTAGTACTACCATCATCGGAAGTTTTAGATGGTGAATTTTGTTTAATGCTTGACTTCGTCATTGGGTCTGAGCTTGGTTGAACAGTTGCTTTATTATTTGTTGGCTTGGTTTTGGTATTTTGATTTGCTTTTGAAGGTATGGTAGATTTTTTTTGAGCTTTCGCGGCAGGGCTGGAAGCTTTTGTTGTAGTTGCGGCCTCATTACTAGCTATGGCCTGTGAACCGGAATCTAAAGGGGGAATATTTGGCTTAACGCCGACTTCCGGTTTAACAGAACCACCAGTAATTTGTTTACCTGCGTCTTTGACTTGTTCTTCGCTTTCGCCGACGTTAGTAAGTTGCGAAATTGAGGGTGAAGCTTTCGTAGGAGATACAACTGTTGTCTTGGGCTGTGGTGAAATTGCTTTAGTTTGTGTAGTTGGCTTTGGTGACAAAACTGGCCTTTCGTTAGTCTTTGATGGTGAAGTCATCACTTTTGTTGGCATCTGCGGTTTGAAAGTTTTTTGATTGGTAGTTGTCTGACTAGGTTTTGCTTGATTCGATGACGTTGGTTTAACCGAACCTGGCTTTGTTCTGCTACCTTCAACTTTCGATTCGCCTACTTCTTTTTTAGCAGCTGTTATAGTAGAGGGGCCCGCGGGTTTCTTCACGGTTGTCTGTTTAGATGGAGAAGCCTTTTGCGTTACTGCTGCAGCAGACTTGGAAGATCCATCGATAGCCGAAATGACAGTGTGAGTTTTATCATCTTGCGCAATCCCATGATGCATTTTTTTTGCAATAGATTCTTTTTCTTTAACAATTTCTCTCGTATCGGTTTTAGTCACAGCCGTGCTTTTCAGTTCCGTTACATCAACTATTGGTGCCTGTTTAATATCTTCCATCTCAGTTTTGGTTTCTGTTTGTTCCATTCCTACAGGTATTATGTCAGACATAATTAATTCTTTTGTTTCAGATGCAATTTGCTTTGGTTCTGCGTCTTTAGGTGTGCTCCCTACTACTTTCGCCTCAGTAACAGCACCGGCAGCAGACATTTCGTCCTTTGTGACCAATTGTAAAGATTTTTCATTAACTTCAGCAGGTGTAATTAAGGATACATTAGCACTGCTTCCAAGATCCCCCATTTCCGCACAAACATTCATAACAACTGGTTTTAGATTATCTGCTACCTGCACAGTTGGTGGTTGAACATCAGATTTCGCTTCTTCAGTTGTAAGCGTTACAGAAACTATTTTTATTTGCTCATCAATTTTAGAAGACGTAGCACGTGATTCGTTTGATTTTTCAAGATTCTCTTTAGGTACTGCGACCGCGGGAATAACTGTGGGTTGCTCGTATTTTTTTATTTGCTCAGAGGCAGCGGGTTCTTCCTTTGGCTTATCTGCAGTTTGCTTATTTTCAGAAACTGCAACAGCTGTGTGCAATTTATCTTCAACTTGTCCAAGTTGAACAACTCCGGCGGTCTGTTGTTCAATATTTTTGTCTGATGATGGAGACTGCTGTAGTTCGCTACTTTCCTTATTCTGAGATTTATTCGACCTTTTATATTTTTCAACATTCTGCGGTTTTTCATCCTTTTTTTCTATTTCCTTTTCATTTTCTGCTTTCACTGATTTTTGACGGCTTGCATCCACTCTTCCACAAGGCTTTTCTCCTTTACCTGAAGATTTTTGCTGATTGGTTTCATTTACCGGGGTTGCTGTTATATTTTCCTTCTTATTAAAATCGGCTTTCTTTAATTGTTGTTGCGGTTGTTGTTTCTTGTCGGCAGCCACCTCTCGTTCGATCTGAGCATCTATACCTGGTTTACTATTATCATTGTTGCTAATCTCTTTGGATTGTAGCGGTAATTTTTGTTTTTCATTTTCCCTCTTTATATCTTTAACTGCGGTTGCAGTCACCGTTGTTGCCGTCGCAGATGACGCCGACGGTTTGTCTTGCTTGTTAGATTTTTCAGTTTTGGCTTGTTTTTGATTTTTGTTTTCGGATTTTACTGTTTCTGTTTTATTTTTAGCAGCCCCATCAGTTGACTGCTTGTTTGATTTTTTGCCTTTCTTTTCTTCTTTTAAGTCATTGGATTTCTTTACATTTTCAAACGATTTAGATGCATCAATTTTTGTTTCAATTTTCTCCAATATAGGAGTTTTATGGTTATTATCAATTTTCTGAGGCTCAGACTCAAATGTCACAACTTTTTTGGCCTTGGAAGCTTCTTCTAGTTTAGCAACTTGCTCAAAATCATTGACCAACAAAGGCACGTCGTCATCTTCTTCAGCAACCTTTTCAAGAATGCCACCAGTTCCCGTACCTGGCTTCTGAAGTCCACATGACATAGTGTTGGCAAACATACGTAACTGCATAACGGTTTCTTGACCTAACTGTGGCAAAATTTCCGGCAGCATTTCAACAATTTTCTTTGACTCACCATGGCCTGTCACTGCGAAAGTATTGGCCGAAAGCGAAGCCTGTGCTTTAGGATTATTAAAATGAATCACTGTTAAATCATCTTTAATAATGTTGACTTCTTCGATCCCTGGTATGGTGCTAACTGATAATTTCTTTAAAGAACTTTGCAACTTCTTATCATCGGTAGCAGCCGATTGGTGCATAACCTTCTTTTTACGACGTGGTGTACCTTTTCCACCAATGCGTACCTGTGCCTGCAATCGTCTCAGCTTTTCTACATTCATATTCTGTTGGTTTAGATAAATATTTCAAAGAAAAGAGCGAAAAATCGACATTTTATTCAAGCAATGGCCAAAAAAAATCTTTGCCAATAAATATGAATTAGAATTCTTTGTTCTTCTTACGATAGTTACATAAAGATAAAATTTTCACTCACCTCTGGTGCTGAACACTAAATTAAATTTTTAAAAAGAATGTGAAAGAACTTCTCAGCGAGCAAGCAACGTGTTCGCACTATGGCTATGTATAAATAAATGTGTCGCCAAGTTCTTCTTATTTGCAAAAACAAAAAATTTAATGGCACACAATGGCAATATCAGCAGACATGGTGGGCAAGGGAAAGATTTCGCATATATATGCACACATAAAACACTTTAGAACAAAAATAAATCTGCAACAGTTTCAGGTATGTATGTAGAAACCAAAAACACCGAAAAATTGTCGCAGCCGCTGCATACACGGCACACAGAAATTAATTGAAAAAAACTGCCGAAATATGAAGAACACTAAGAGACTTTTGTTAAACGGCCATATATCACTAGCCGGTGCAGAATAATATATAAATGCACTTTATTTCGAGACTGACTAATAGCAAATAATGCTGAGATTTTCATGAAAATTCTTGAGAAATGGTTACAAAAACCGCTGCAATGCATTCACGCCTCATTTTCTTTAGTTTTTTTTTCTTTCCCTTTTCAATTACATATTTCATCCACTTTTCCTTATATTAAATCACTTGCACATGTGTGCGCAAATAAACGCGATGCATTTACAACAAAAGTTTACCTTCTATTGACTTCTGACCAACTACGCCGTCTTTAAAAATCCACAGAAAATTTCCCTTAGTAATTTATGCTAAAAACTAATTTTATTGATATCAATAATTTTAAATATTATTTACTACATCTTTTTTATTCACAAATAAAGAAATCCTTTGACTTTTTTAATTTAAAGCAGAGTTGTATTCTGTAATGAACTTTAACGGACATTAAAATCAACAATGTTAGGAGATTGCTAAATTAAAAGCTAATTTCCCTCTCTTTTAAAAAGGCATGCGAACAAAATATTTGTTAACAAGAGTGAAATTTAATCTCCAATAAAAGTCTTTTAGTAATAGTAGAAGTCTCGAAGAAATTATACTTTCAATATTTCAAAATCTTTTCTTCTTCGTTTCCTTTACTTTCATCGAATTATATAAAAATGTAATTTTCCATTATAAGTTTTAGTAAAAAGTGGAGTAATTGCATAAAAGATTTATCCAACTACTTCTTAGCATATAGTATTGCTGATTATCTTTGCATTTGGAACACTCTGTTATATTTTCCTTAATTTTTACTTGCAACTCTGCTTCATATTGCAATAATTTGTTATTGTTCATAGACAAAGAATCAGCACCTAAAACTAATTAATCATTTTATATTTTTTATCGATTGGTTGAACATTACTCAGCGCTTTTAACTGATAAACTCCAGCCTGTAATTCTAAGAATTTCTTGAATAACAAAAGAATTTTTAAGAATGCGTTTACAATTGACGTCAATCTTTCTCGCCTTGCTGGCTCTTAATGTCCGCGGAGATGGTATATTATCCGACAAGTTTATGGAAATTGTACGGCAAAAGGCTAAAACTTGGACTGTTGGAAGAAATTTTCATAAACTGACACCTATGTCGCACTACCGGCAGTTAATGGGAGTACATCCTGATGCGCATTACTATGCTCTGCCCGATAAAAGGATCGTTTTACGGGAAGAAGAATTGGTGGGCTTAGGTAATAATATGATTCCTGAAGACTTTGATTCTCGTAAGCAGTGGCCTCATTGTCCCACTATATGGGAAATACGAGACCAAGGTTCTTGTGGCTCCTGTTGGGCGTTCGGTGCTGTGGAAGCCATGTCAGATCGGGTGAGCAAATAATTAAATTTGATACAACTTACATAACATGTTTACATACATAATGACGCCTTATCTTTCACATCTATTCAAATTACATAGTGTTGTGTATTATAATAAACGTTATTGGCTTTTAGGTTTGCATTCACTCGAACGGTACTCTTAATTTTCATTTCTCCGCTGACGATTTAGTGTCTTGCTGTCATACATGTGGTTTTGGTTGTAATGGTGGTTTTCCTGGGGCTGCTTGGGGCTATTGGGTTCGTAAGGGTATTGTTAGTGGCGGTCCTTACGGCTCCAGTCAGGTGGTTTTTTATTCGAACAAATTTGATCTTTTAATCAATTATAAATAATTTTAGGGTTGTCGTCCTTATGAAATCGCTCCGTGTGAGCATCATGTCAATGGCACTCGTCCACCATGTGAAAAGGAGTATGGAAAAACTCCTCGTTGTCAGCATAAGTGTCAGGCGAGCTATAAAGTAGATTATAAAACCGACAAGCATTATGGTTCCCGTGCTTACTCAATTAGCAAAAATGTTCATGATATCCAGGAAGAAATTATGAGCAACGGCCCTGTCGAGGGTGCTTTCACTGTATACGAGGATCTGATTTTATATAAAGACGGTGTTTATGAACATGTGCATGGAAAAGAATTAGGTGGGCATGCAATACGCATTATCGGTTGGGGTGTTGAAAAAGACATCCCATATTGGTTAATTGCTAACTCTTGGAACACAGATTGGGGAAACAATGGTTTCTTCAAAATCCTTCGTGGCAAAGACCACTGCGGCATTGAAAGTTCTATTTCAGCGGGCTTGCCAAAAATTTAAATATATTAAATACCGTTTCAAATTTTTTCTTTTAGTTTTAAAGTATTGAAACTTAAATAAAAATTTATTTGAAAAATATTTTGCGTTTACACGTAAGGATTCCAATTGCTACCATCTTCGGGCGTTAGTCGATTCGTTAACAATAATATGATGTCAACAACCCACCAAACGCCGATACCACCCAACGTTAGAAGTTTTCCAACCGCAGTACCAGTTTGCCCAAGGCAAAATCTATCCATGCCCAGAAATCCTAACAGCAGACTGTATAAAAGGGTTGTTAGGAAGTAGTGCTCAGAGTACCGTATGCAGGGGACTCCATCTCTCATGAAGGTTCTTGGCCCATGGCAATCTATATCAGAAAATACAGTGCACAAAACTTTTGTGTGTTCGACGTCTTCGTAATTGAGACCACCAAATTTTAAACAGCCGTACCCCTTTTCCTCCTTAGCTGTTTTATTATCTTTATGGTCGATAGGTTTATTGCACTCAAGAAAATCCTCAGGCAGCATAGAGCACAATACCTTAGGTCCCCAAATACGATAATTATTAGCACTGTCAGAGCGAGTTAGTGCGACCGCACCTGAAACTTGTTGTTCTCGATCACTGCGTGCTTGTATAGCATAGGATAATTTTAACATCACAGTCATAAACATATATAATATAAAATCCATGTTTTAATTAAAATATTTTTAATAGTAAAATAACACACTATATAAGAGTTACCACCTACTCAACAAAAGTACGTAATGCGCAGTAAATTGAATCATTTTTAAAAATATGAGAATTTTATTTAAGAACAAAGCTCCCAAGTTTTTGTTTTATATAGACAAATAAAATATGTACATAATCAAATTTATAAAATGGCCAATATAATTTAAACGATGCCATTTCCATAGGTCCTCGTATTTATGGATTTCATTGCTTATACTGTTGTCGGACATCATTACGCCCAAATATGCCAAATTTAAAATAGCTAAATTACTAAACATCAAATTTATAAAGCGTACTAACAAAGTATCGGACGACCATTTTCTTCTGCGAGGACAGTGCGTGTAAGTACATCTCCTATTGCAATCATTAACTTCTAGACAGCTGTCGTATACATGAGCTAACGTGGCTCGTAGGCTGTTCTCTATATAGGTAAAACCAGCTAGAGATAATAAAACTAAATGTACTTTAGCATGGAAGCCATGTAAAAGGGCCGAGATTACGTAAGTGAATAACAAAGAGACAAAGTAACTGCCGTAAGCTATTTGAAGTTTTCGAAACATATACTTTTTCAGCCATTGATGCATAGGTATATTCCAGCATCGAACCAAAGAATGCAATGAACGTGGAAATTCTATATTTAACGGTTGCGTGATTTTATAACCCAATAAATAATCCGGTTTCTGCGAAGGCACACCACCCACTACTACTGTTGCCTGCGACAGAAAGCTTATAAAGTAGTGACTGCACCGCACAGCCAAAGCATCTAAATAAATTCGCAACCACAAAAGATCGTCGGAACGTAGCCAGGGTATAAAGCAATTGGATAAGTTAAGAAATACCACAGCTAAGGTTACATTAGTAAATGTCCATAGTAACCAATGCAAGTTTTTTAATGATGTACGTTGCTTCTGATTATATAGACTATACGGCATCCAAGGTCCAAGCATACATGTAGTAGGACAAAATACATAGCCCAAATAAGACAGCAAGTCGGGCAATTTAACAGTCGAACGTTCTCCTGTGTCTTTAGCTCCAAAATCAAAGGCAAATGAAATAGTTTTCATTGTAGCCACCATCTGCACACCGCGAACTTTCTGCCATTCAAGATGTTTCATAAAATATTCGCACGCCAACTGTATTGCTATAGTGAAGATAGCAACACCCATTCCCTCGTGTGGACTCTTATAATAGCTGATTATCAAAATCAAGGTGTAGGCCAATAAGCACAAAAGTAATACGATTAGCCAGTCATAGGATAATGAAAGATAAAGAGTAACAAATCCACAAACCATTGACGATAAATGATGCAAGCTTTCCTTGGACGGCCACGCATTTTCCAATAACGATCGTAGTAAGTGATACATTAGACTACAGCTCAAAACAACTATAATGTATCGACCAATTTGAGTAGTAGAAGGTACTGCACAAGTGTAGCAGATATCTTTAAAAGACTCTGCGGTAAGGTATCCAGAATACTCATAATAATCTTCGCTGCTAATATCAATTTCTCCAATATCTTCAGAATTATCTAAATTTTCGTATTCGTAATAGTAATCCATATTCCAAATTTATTTACACAAATTTGAAGCCGGTGAATACATTTGCACTTTAATACATTTTGAGCAGGGATGCCAAGTCATTTAGAAGTGTGTATTTCAATGCGTGATCAAACAAAAGTAAATTTCAGTGAACAAAAAGAAGAAGATTGTGAAATTTTAACAAAAAAGAAACCCAGAAAAGGCTTGTTTGCGACTAATATTTTGTTATTTAAAGATAAAACATATTGGAAAATTCATAGAAACGAATATATTTTGTAACTTATGTGAAATTGTATGGACATATAAGCCACATATTTATTGGCTTGGTCCATCTTAAGTTAACATCCCAAATAAAAAAAATTTATCAAATTATATGGAAATTGTTCATTCTGTAGAATACTATAAAATTTTAAACAAAAAATTTTCTAAAAAACATATTTAAAGAGGGTACGAACGAAGCACGCGCAGAAAACAAGAAAAACTCCATTTGGTTTATTTTGTTTTTTCTTGAAGAATACTTGCAAAAATGGTAAGTATACATAATTGTAAACAAA